TTTTTTTTTACTTTTCTTAGAGACGGGGTCTCACTACATTGTCCAGACTGGTCTCAAACTCCTGGGCTTATGTGATCCTCCCATCTTGGCCTTCCAAAATGTTGGGGTTGCAGGTGTGAGCCGCCATGCCCAGCCTCTCTTCATTCTTTAAGGGTGTCTCCTTTCTCTGAATTTATATTACCTGTTTTCTCTCTAAGGTTACATCTCGTTAAGGACTACAAGTCTCTGCTGCTGGAGATGACCCACCTTGAGAATCAGATTGGTGACCTGTATATCTTTAGGCCAAGGTTAGTAAAGGACTAGAGAATCCCAGAGAGCCACACACTGCCTTTATTTTTGGAAAGCTGCGTTTTCTGCAGGCTCTGAGGGTACTGATTTAGTCATCTTTGGTCTTACACAGAGAATCATGAGTATTCATTATGTAAAATTCTTTTAATCAATCTTTTCACAATGTATAATAGCTGTGATCATCAAATTCTAAGCTATAGCAGCCTACAACACTAATGTGTAAAAAGCATTATACACTGAAAGTCCTAACTGGGCCATCGCCAAGTTATGTCTGAATACAAACCAAGACATCAAGATTTGGGGCTGGAAAACACACACTTCATGTAATTGCTTAAAGCCACCGTCACTTGGATTCAACACTCATGACTGAAAAGCACTTCAGGTTCAGCTTTCAAGACTGTGAAGGCAGAACCCAGGGGAGCTGGGGTGGATTCAGCTGTCTTTTCTCTGTTTTTCCAAGCATGTACATTCACACAAGGCCTAGCAGTAAACAGGATGAGGAAAATCAAGCAGGGAAACCTTGCCTTCCCATCAAGCTGCTTAACTCCCTCTCCTGCCTGTCGCTATTAACCTCTGGAAAGAGTGGCCTGTAATTGCCACCTAGTACTCATTCCCATGCAGTCTGCAACACGCGGTGGCCTGGCTTCCATCTCCACTCAAAAAAGATCAACGTTGATGGATGCTCTGCTCGAGAATGATGCCAATCTTCGTCATTCTCTACCTGTTTGCGACTTCTGACGGTGTTGAATGGATGACCTTCATCCCCAAAACTTTCCCCTTCTTTCACCCTCTGGGATACATCTCCTCTTTTTTTCCTCCTACAACTTTCACTTCACCTCTTCCTTTCCTGGCTCCTCTTCCTCCACTAGCTCCTTGCCATTTCCTCTAAGTCCATGCTAGGTTTTATATTTTTCTCCCTCTTTACCATCTCTCCCTCGGTGATTTGAGCAACTTCCACCT